GCTGGGATGAAAGGTGTGCACCACCCCTGCTCAGCTAGATATTGTTTTTTAAAAGAAAAAAAAATGGTGCAAGCTGAAGCTAAAACCAGAACCTAGCAATTTTGGGGTATGGAAGTGGATTTGTAAGAGATCCAACACTGATCAATTGCCATGCCTCAATAGAGCAACCCTATTCTTCTAGGCAAGTCATCAACATGAGGCAACTATGTTCTTTCAAAACAAAACCACAGGAGCCGCAGCAAGAATTTAACTCAGTATAGTGTTTCTGGCCGGAAGAGGTTGTGGAATCTGCTCTTCAAAGATCACCCTGAATGTGCCCAGGGCTCAGCATGCCTGACCTGAGTCCCCAGTGTGTCTGTGAAAGCAATTCCAAAAGGCTGAACTGACCAAACTAGGTCATAAGAATTCTGAAGCCTCTGCCTTTTTTTCTCACAGAATGCTGGCTCGCTTGCTCTGGAGACATTCTGCTGTACTACAGCTGTCATACTGGGAGATATTCGAGTCACACGTGGAGGCTATCCTAAACAGCCTGAGTTTTCACAATTTTTTACAGAGTGAGTTCCAGGACAGCCAGGGCTGTTAAACAAAGAGACTCTGCCTCCAAAAACCAAAAATCAAACCAAACCAAACCAAAAAAAAACCCAAAGCGGGTCCTGTGGGTAGCGGGTGCCTGGTATGTTTGCCTGTACATGGTTGTTCCTGTCTTCCTCTTGTGTGGTAGTCCTGCTCTCTTCTGTGGTAGTTACATATGCACCCCACAATCACAGCACCGGCCTGGAACAATCTGAGGAAAAGGTTAGTTTTGTTTTTGCTTTTTTTTTTTTTTTGGCTCACAGTTTCAGAGGGTCTCAGTGTGTTGTGGGAAGTGAAGCATGGTAAACTTTTCATGTTAGATGTGTGTTCACATCACTGGTGACCAGGGAAATAGAAGGCAAGGGCTGAGTATAACCTTCAGAGGCCCATCCCAAGTGACTTACTTGTGCCAACTCGACCCAACCCTCCCAAAGTTTCACAAGACAGTACCACCTGCTCGGAAACAAGCGTTCAAAACACGAACGTGTCTGGAACACTGCAGGGTCAAAGCCCGGCATCCCTGGCCACACGCCCATGGTAGAGTTGAATACAAATGCTCTTTCCTGCAGCCCTGGGAGGACACATGAGTCAGCCTGAATCTTCAAAGTTCCACTTTCTTCTGAATATAGGGAGTGAGAGGCTCTGACCCAAGAGTCAGAGTTCTTTCTGGAACTGTCAGACCAAGTTGAGAAAAGATTCTTCACTGGGTGGTTGATGTGGCACTCTGTTCCCTGGAGCTGGTATGGACAAAGTTTTCAATTAATTGCTGGAATGTCAATGAATGCCTTTGAAATTTAAGCTGCGGGAATTTGCTTCCTGTCACTGGCTAACCAGAGCCCTGGCTAGTACGAGTAAACCTCGTACTAGGTTTACCATATACTATACTATATATAGCGGGTGTATGTATAGGATTATACATACACCCGCTATAGTAATCAAGAATTGATGGATTCATATGTGAGCTGAAATCCAGCCGTGACTGTGGATTTGTTATTGGAAAAGAACTAAGCCCAAAGCAGCATGCATGAGTATGTATCCCTGTATACTCCAGAGTAGCTGAACCAGTGGAATCCGACCCAAAAGGTGCAAAAGGAGTCTTTTGGGGCTAGGAGCCTAGGGAAGCCTTTGTTTCCTCTTCCCCACCCTCTCTGTCTGAAATGCAGAAGCCACCCTGGGAGTGCAGCAGGCATCTTGAGAGTGTGAGGGTCAAACCTCCTGCTGGAGGTGCAGGTGCTGCTGGAGAAGGATGGAGCAGCCAGCTGCCTGCTGCTACTAGAGGCTGCTGTACTGGTTAACGTTTCCTTTCTTCTGGCTCTCTGCACGTGAGAAAAACTAACCTGGTCTGGTTATTGCATGCAGCCAGATGTGACTCTAAGTTAGGCAGTGCCCTTTGCCCATTATATTCAAAGTTCTTGGAATTTTGGATCAAAGGGATAATATTTGGAGACTTGCTACCATGGACCAATCAGGTCTGGGCTGCTATGCCAGACGTGGATCGTTGGATTCATTCCCTACCTCTGTTGCAACAATGTACATTCAGTGGCTTCAGATGACAGGTTTTTGTATTTGGCACAAGTCTAGATATTAGAAGTCCTTAAACCAAGGTGTCAGCAGAGCTGCTTTCCTTGTAGAGGATTTAGGGACATCCATTTGTCTTTTTAAACTTCCAGGAGACTCCTATTTCCCTTGTCCATGTCCCCTTCTTATTCAAGGTTGGCACTGTAGTGCGCTTGGCACACACAACACATCGCTGTTGGCCTATCGCCTTTGCTTCTAACTCCCCTGTCCCTTACTTCCTCCAATGATAACACTTGTGATTATGTGGGCCCAGTGCATCAGCCAGGCTAGTCTCCCCACACTGTCGTGGGTACAACCACACCTGCAAAAGCCCCCTTTTGGCATATAAGCTAATGTATTAGCAGGTTCTGGGCCTCAATATGTAGAAATTTCAAGGGCTCACTGACCTTTCACCATTTTCCTGTTTACCTTACAGAGGGACAGTGCTTTGTCCAGGTCCCACACAGAGCTAGCTGAGGGACCAGAACTGCGCGGAGGTGGCAGAGATACCCTTTATCCTCCTGAGCATGAATCTAGGGTCAGACATTCTTTCGAGGTCCACTTCAGATCTCCAGTGTGCTCAGAAGCTATTGCTGCCACCCATGGCCCACAGCACCCATCCTCTTGTCTAGATCTCTGTCGCTCATTGTCACTTGGCATTCATCAGCCCAACTGTCCCAAAGGCATTGTTTTATCCTCTGACCTTCTTGATCTCTGAAGACAAAGAGAGCATCTTAGGCTACTTTGCATCACAAGAACCCACTGCATGGAGTAGAGGCTTCTGGTAGATTCTTCAGTAGGATGCACTCAGCTCCGACCCCACAGTCTGGAAAGACAGTCTCCCTTGCAGACAAGACGGGGTGACGTCCAGCTAGGTGTTGACAGTGGAGCGACAAGCACAGGAAGGCAGGGTTGGAAGTATTTGATTCTTCTGCTTCAGCTGAGACAGGGACTGTTCTATGTAGGACTCCAGCCTGGTTCTTCAGCTTCCACCCTCTCAGCCCCAAATCTGTAAGCTCCTTCTTGCCTGGTGTGAACACATCCTCTCTAGCTGGAGTGGCATCTCTCGTCTCTCTCTATAGTATAATTTAGTCTCTGGCATAGCAAACCCACTCAGGGTAGGCACTACACCTCTCTCTTGCAAACAGATCCTCCAGTGAACACATCAAAAGAATAATGCACAACTCATTGAAATGGGTTAAAGTTCCACCATTCTGTGGGGCTGGAGAGGTGGCTCAGTGGTTAAGAGCACTGGGTAATCACTCAGAGGATCCTGGTTCAATTCTCACTATGGCAGCTCACCATTGTCTGTAACTCCTGTTTCAGGAGTTCTGACGCCCTCTTCTGGCCTCTGCAGGCACCAGATATCCATACAGACAAAACACCCAAACACATAAATATAATCTTTCGAAAAAGTTTTAATATTCTGATGAATTTTTCATGCTTTCTGAGAAACAAGAGCCTGGAATGGAAGCAGAATGTGGTCCCTCTCATTTCACACTCAAATTTCTCAAATAGAAGAAGTCATTTCCTTGTTTCAATGTTATTACTTCACAGGGGCGGCCCAGAAAACCCTTCTCTTTTTATAGCAGTGTTTGTGGCAAACATAATATAATATTAAATGAAGTGTTAGAATTCATTCGAAATTTTTGCTGATTTAACACACTGTCATTCTCCTTTTCTCCCCACTCCTATTACTATGGTCTTTATTTTTGTTAGGCTGTTGTATGCACACAACTTTTGGACTTTTGTTTTTCATATAATGTTAGAACAGAAGAGTTTTCCAAGGTTATTATCTAGCCTTTCTTTCTTCTTCCTCTGTCTCTGTCTCTGTTTCTCTCTCTGTCTCTGTCTGTCTCTCTCTCTTTTGGTATTTCAAGACAGAGTTTCCCTGGCTGTCCTGGAACTTGCTCCTTAGACCAGGCTGGTCTCAAACTCAGAGAGATCTGCCTGCTTCTGCCTCCTGAGTGCTGAGATTAAAGGTGTGCACCACCACTACCCGGCTGGTCTTTCTTTTCAACAACAAATTTCTTCCAGCATCCCTGCTATCTGATCTGTATCCCTACAGTAATTTTCTTTCAGTTTGTCTTGGCATTATCATTTACACTGCAGTCATCATGTTTGCACTTGTTCATTTTGGGTTTCCAAGGAGCGGGATTGGGCCAACTATATAACTACTTGCAAGGGCTCCCCCCTCTCACTTTTGAGACAAAAATCTCAGTATTGCATTAAGGCTGGTCTTCAAGACTTAAAAATTCAATTATTTAATTAATATGAGTGTGTGCATGCATTCACGGTGCTCTGGGTACAGTGTGCAGGCATCGGTTTCCTCCTTCTGTCATATGGGTTCCGGGAATCGAACTCAAGTTGTAAGGCTTCCTGTCCAGCACTTTGACCCCAGTGGCATCTTGCTGGCCCTAGTCTCACACTCTCAGTCCTGCTGGAATCACAGGTAAGACCCATCCCTCCCGGACGGTTTTACTTTTCATTTCAATTTGCCTCGCCCCGACTCTTAGGGAGGCGTTCCGAGTAACGTGTTCTCAGCTTTTCTGCTATGCCCTGAAGATTCCAGCCTCGGAGAAGGAATGCAGCCAAGCGCCAGGCGGTTACACAGGGTTCCGGGTTTGCGCCCGGCCCGCCCAGCTGTGGACTACATTTCCCAGGCAGCACCGCGTGGAAGGCGTGGCCGCGGGGTACGGGCGACAGCAACGCCGGGTCCAGGGTGTACAGCGGGACGCGATGGCCGCGTGGGCCGAGCGGCTGGCGGGCGTGCGGGGAGTACTGCTTGACATCTCCGGCGTGCTGTACGACAGCGGTGCAGGCGGCGGAGCAGCCATTGCGGGATCTGTGGATGCGGTGGCGAGGTTAGTGGGCTCAACGCGGGGGGTTGTCGGACTACTGTGGCTGCCGGGGGCGGGGCGTTCACGCCGGCCCCGCCTCCTCGCGCACTGGCCCCGCCCTTCATGCTGACTAGGAGCCAGGTGGGGAAGTTTGGGTTGGCACTGCTAGGCTTCCAAGGGTTGTAGTTTTGCTTTGGAAGCAGTTGAATGGTTGAACTTGGTTAACCTGCAAGTAAAATACAGATTTCAAAAGTGTAGGATACTGCAATATTAATATTGCAATATATATTAGGCCAATGAGATGGCTCCATAGATAAAGGCATTCACTATAGTGACAACCTGAATTCAATCCCTGGGACCCACATGGTGGAAGAAAAGAAGTGACTGCTGCAAGTTGCCTTTTTTTGACCTCCACATAGTGCTCCACTCTAAAAAGAAATAAATGGAAAAGTTATTTTAAAGTATTTCATTATGTTGCTTACATGTTTAAATGACCACTTTTAATATACTAGGCTAGGTAAACTATTTTAAATGTTCCACCTGTTTCTTTTACCTTTGAAAACTTTAAATCACGTATGTGGCTAGCCATCTAATTCTTTTGGATTGGTTTTGATTTGAGGAAGAGAAAGCATCTGGTTCTTCAAGCCTGCCCGGCAGGACCACAGTTGGCATTAAGTCTGAGCTATTTGCCTTTGGTGTCCCTAGCCAGTTCTATGTAATGTTGATGGACAGTTGGAAGGGGCTTATTGTTTAGCTAGCACTCAGCCTCCCAGAATCACTAGCTGGGATGCCCTGACCTAACTAGGATTATTTATTTACCCATAGTTAAGTAAATCCTTTGATCCTAAGAGGCCCTCCCCTACTTCTTCCCCCGCTGTGTGTGTGTGTGTGTGTGTGTTTGTGTGTGTGTGTGTGTGTGTGTGTGTGTGTGTAGACAGAGAGAGAGAGGGAGAGAGAAAAAACACTCAAGCAAGAGGGTTAGCACTGATGAGGCGACAAGGACTCCAACTGTGTTTTGTAGCAAAGTCAAAAAGTCAAAGGGGCTTGTGAAGGACGTCTACTCCTAGGAAGCACCTGTGACCTCTGTGTGGGCAGAGGTCTAGGTTTACCTGTCCTTCTGGTATCAATATATTCCCCACTGACCCCAGAATGTAGGACTGTCTGTGTGACAGTGAGCCTTGATGTTGATCATTATGTGGCGGCCCCTTTTGAAACGCAGTCAGGCACTGGACAGTGCTTTGAAGTGAAGTTACTTCATGTAGGCAACCTTATGAGATCTCATCTGAATGGAAGGTGGACCATATTTTGAACTCAAATGAATAAATGAGTCACCGTAGATCAGAAGTGAAAATGATTCCAAGCCGGGAAATAGTGCCACCCACAGTGGGTAAGTCTTCCCACTTAAAGTAACAAACGGAGATAGTTCACCCACAGACATGCCCAAATGCACGTCTCCTGGATGATTCTAGATCTCCTCAAGTTGATAGTTGAGATTACCCCTGTCACAAACATATATACACACACACATGAACTTGTACACATGTACAAACAAGTACATTGAAAATGAGATTTCCTTTGGCAAGAGAGCCTCAGAATATATAAATAAAAAAAATCAGCAATTGAGCTGGAGTAAGGACAAATGACATACATAATCACTCACTAGGGCAAAACCAACAGTGACCTCCTAAGCATATGAAAGATCTCCCACCTGGCCACATTAGAAACACAAATTAAAGGGCTGGAGAGATGGTTCAGCGGCTAAGAGCACTGACTGATCCTCCAGAGGTCCAGAGTTCAATTCCCAGCAATCACATTGTGACTCGCAACCATCTGTAGTGGATCTGGTGCCCTCTTCAGGCCTGCAGGCTTTCATTGCCCCATGTAAATTCTGCATCTAGAAAATATTCATATTGTGCATGTAAATCCCAATTCATTTCACTCTCTTGTGTAACCAGCATCTCAGAAAACTCCCTCTACACTCCCCAGCCCAGGGCAACCACTGCTTTGCCCTCTAAGTCCCGGAGGTTAATTTTGCTTGTGAATCTGGATGTTCTTTGTGGGGCCAGAAAGAACGTGAAGTGAAGGGGAGTCATGGCAGCAGGACCTTGAGGAGGCAGCTCTCACGTGACTTCTGCAGTCAAGAAATCACAGAGTGTGTTTCCCATTTATGACTGTCCCTCTTGCCTGCTTTCACTTGTGAGAGATTTGTTATAGCTGTGGACAGTGGTTTGTAGAGGGCTTGATTGCGATACTAGGCTTGGTTCTATGGAGTGATGTCTTACTGTTCTACTATGAAGAGACACCATGGCCAAGGCAACTTATAAAAGAAAACATTTAACTGGGGGATTGCTTATGGTTTCAGAGGGCGACTCTATGACCATCAATCATGGGGAACACAGCATCAGGCAGGCAGGTGGGCAGGCCTGGTGCTGGAGCAGAAGCTGAGCACTTACCTGTGATCCACAAGTATGAGGCAGAGAGAGCTACATGGGAATAGCGTGGACCCACCCCCATGACACACACCTCTTCCAACAAAGCCACATCCCCTAATCCTTCCTAAACAGTTCCACTAACTGGGAACCATGCACTCCAATATATGAGCTTGTTGTGGGGGGCATTCGTTTTCAGCCCTCCACAAATGAGGACACCCTTGTACACCCCTATCTTTCCCGTTTGGGTTATTGCAGCTGGTGTTTGGGGGAGCATGTGACTGTGTTTCTGCGGAGTGTGCATCCACGGAATGGGTGTCGGAGTAGAGTAGCTGCATTACAAGGCAGCAGTGCGTTTGACAAGTGCTCGCCACCTCTGCCGGCTCCACAGCCTTTGGTGTGTTTTAGGACTGTTGTCACAGGCTGCTACATGTCAGTATCACCGTGCCAGAGTCACCCCTGCTATGCAAGCCTGCCGGGGCAAAACAAATCTCTTTACACTTTTATTTATGTGCGTGGGTGTTTTGCCTGTGTGTGTATCTGTTTGAGAGTGGCAGGGACCCTGGAACCGGAGTTACAGACTGTTGTGAGCTGCCCTGTGGGTGCTGGGAATTGAATCCAAGTCCTCTGGAAGAACAGCCAGTGCTCTTACTTAACCGCTGAGGCATCGCTCCAGCCCCTTTAATTCTTTTTTTTTTAAAAAAAGATTTATTTATTTTATGTGTATGAATGTTTGCTGGCATGTATGTCTGTGCACATGTGTGCTTGGTGCCTGCAGAGGTCAGAAAGAGGGCACCCCCTGGAACCGGGGTTCTGGATAGGCTGTGAGCCACTAGGAGGGTGTTGGAAACTGAGCCACGATGTGGATGCTGGGAACTGAACCCTGGTCCTCTGCAAGAGCAACAAGTGCTCTTAATCACTGAGCCATCTCTCCAGCCCTTAAAGCTCATCTCGGCAAAGCCTTCCTGGGGCCAGTCATAACCTCAGAACGTACAGTCTGCCAGGATCCTTCCCACCACCGTCCCTCTTTGTGCCCTTTTCTTGGACAGCACTATGTCAGGCGAGGCGAGCCCCCTTGCCAGAAACCTGTGGGATTATTCTTGTTGAGGGGACAAGGAACCCAGATGACTGACGGTCTCTGAACTCCCTGGCTTCCTTGCTACTGGACCAAGTCCCTAAATCTGTGCCTGGTCAGCTGGAGCATCTCAGGTGACCTTTGGCTCTCAGGACTGACATTCCTTTTCTTACCTCATTTCTTCTGTGAGTTTTTGCTGAGCAGTCTCACAAGCAGCCCTGGCCTCCATAAGGCCAGCCCTTCCTGCCCAGGCCTAGGGCAGCCCCACAGGCCCTCCCTCCCCTGTGACAGGTGCAGAGGCTTAGAGGGAAGAGATTTTTGCCCTCTGTTAAAACACACCTGCTTTTGAAGTTTTCTGGGGGTTTTCCTCTCTGGGTAGCTGAGCCAACACTGGTCTCTCCCAGAAGCCTTCGCAGATGGGTGCAGCTTGCCAGGGTACACAGCTGGGCAGCCAGCTGGCTTGTGTGGCCCTGGCAGCATTTTCCACCTTTCCCTCTGTGACCCCCGCCCCCTTGAAGTACAGTGCTCCCTTTGAAGTTCTGCCGGAGTTCAAAGGAAGTTCCTGGGGTAAGACCCACTGTGGCAAGGGACAAGTGTGATGGGGGTGGGATGGGACCTGGGGGAATGCGCACTTCCCTGGCAGCTTCCCAGCACAGTGGCTTCAAGGCAGCATCTTAATTTTTAAAGCCTAGTAGGGGATGGCTCACTGTCTCCCATTATTCTGTCTGGGTGTCCTGTTGTAACCGTTTTTGTTGTTGTTGTTGTTGTTGTTTTGTTTTGTTTTGTTTTATACTTTCTAGAAAGTTCCCACTTATGGGGAGACAGAAAGCACAGGAAGAAGGTAAACTTACTTTGAAAATGGGACCAACTGTAGTAAGAAGCTCCACGTGAAGGAGGCCTGTCAGGAGCTGGGCAGGCACTCCCTCCCCTGCCTCACTTTCACATCTGCCCAATGAGCCCTTTCCAGAATGAGGACTGAGGGCTTGAAAAGCAGGAACCAAGGCTGACTTCTTATTAAAGACGGGTGACTGTGCGCATTCACCAACACACCCGGCAAACATTTGTTGGACGCCTGCGGTGTACCGGGAACTCTGCTCTAGACCTGGAGAGTTTATGATGGCGAGCCAGGTGGCTAGAAACCAGTACCCTGGTGGAGCCAACATGGCAGTGCCAGGAGACCAGACTTGCCCTAGGCAGGCTCGTGTGCTAAGTAGAGAAAGCCTGAACTGTGAAGAGGTCCAGGGCTGCAGGTGCTCATGGGCCTTACAGGTCCCATGGGCATTGAGTTGAGATCAAGAGAGGCGAACCTAAGATCATCCCAGATGGAAGAAGGGGGCAGCTTTGACCTTCCCATGCGGTGTCTCCCGCCCCAACCCCTGCTACCCACTTAGTCCTGCAAGCTGCTGGGTGGGGCCCACTGACTGCTGTAGGACTTGAGGGCGGGTGTGGCCATCTGTAACCCGCCTGGGTCCCTCCAACAGGCCTTTATTGGAGCCCATTTGTGGTCAGATCGGGCTCCCTGAGGGGAACCATTCAGAGGCAGGCTGGGCACAGCAGGGGCTGCCGCACAAAGGCCCTGGTGGCTGGGCAGGCCCTGGCGATGGCCCCCAGGCATCTGCATGTGAAAGGTGATGAGCATTTACTGCATCCTGTGGAAGGCCACTAAAGCACATCTGCCAGGCCAGCCTAGCCCACACTGGCCTTTTGGGAGCCGGCGGAAGGAAGCAGGCTCGGCCTCAGCCCAGGGCAGTCTCATAAAGCAATTCCCACCCAGGATGGTGAGCCAGACTCACAGCCCAGCCTTCCAGATGGCCCCTCTCGATCCTGAGGGTGAACAGAAATATCGGGGACCCTAGGGAAATCCAGATGCCATACAGACAGTCTTGGTGCAGCAGCAAGTGATTGGGCCAGGGCAGCTTTGAAATCTGGCTGGTCCTCGGACCTCCTCAGTGCTCAGCTACCTTTACAGCATCCAGCCATGAGGCGCAGTTCCTAGGAGTAGTCCTAATAATAGTCATAATAATGCAGATGACATTGGCCAGTAACCCAGGCCAAGCGCTTCCTCTCAGTCCCACCTCTGGGCCAGGCTAGCCAGGGAGTCAGCTGGAGAAGGCTCCCACAGGCAGGCCTTGGGCAAGGGGTCTCTGCTCTGACCTTGGGTGAGGGCTGTTGGTACTGACTGAGCTCCTATACATTGCCCTTTCCTGTCCTGAGATGAGCCATGGTGGAGGAGGGCATGGGCCAGAGCAGCCTGCTCTTTATCCTGGGTTCTGGGTTTTCTGTTTTGTAATGTCAACACTTGAAGTTTCATAACATAGATGACTTCCTTTTGTAAATGTTCCTGCCATTGATTCAGAGAAAAGTTGAAGGCCTCTGTCATCAGCCTGTCTCAGTAACTGCCTCAGATTGACCCCATGGGTCTTTCAGCCCCTTGCTTTTGTGTTTCCCCAAAGCACAGAGGTTTTGTGATATAGCCCACTCCTTCTCCTGATCTTTGCAGCCCCCCAGGGCAGCTGCCCATCACACTGTGCACTGCCCATCACACTGTGGACTGCCCATCACACTGCCCATCACACTGTGTACTGCCCATCACACTGTGCACTGCCCATCACACTGCCCATCACACTATACAGTGCCCATCACACT